GACCTGGTTATCTCCGAGACCGCCTTCTGCCACAGATTCCCTCCCATAGACCGGTACGCTCCCACAGAGTGGGTCTCCTCAGGGTGCCGTCGGCCAAGCAGTGTCGGCTGGCGACCCCCAGGGGGAGGGCCTTCTCTGTGGGTGCCCCCGCCCTCTGGAACGAACTACCCCCTGAGATCCGGATGATTCCGGATCTCCTCACTTTCCGCCGCGCCCTCAAGACATGGCTTTTCCAGCAAGCAGGCCTGGCCTAGGGAGGATTTTAAATTGGGTCCACTTTTTTAGAAAATTTTAAATAGCACAACTCTAAAATATTTGGTTTTAATTGGTTTTATTTGGTGGGGATTTAAATATGTTTCTGTTTTTAAATATGTTGTGAGCCGCCCTGAGTCCCATTGGGAGAAGGGCGGGATATAAATCAAAATAAAGTAAAGTAAAGTAAAGTTAATTTAATATACTTTGAAAAATAACACAATTATTTTTCTGGTAAACATTCATTCTGTAATTAAACATAAGGACACAGTTGTGTTGATGTCCCTCTTACTATATACCTTACTCACACCCATTTAAGATACTATCCTACTAGGAAAAGAACTCATGCAATTGACAACAACTATACATCAAACACCATTGTATAAATTTTATCATGTTAGCTGGTCATCATTACAAATAACATTTATCCTTCCCAAACCTTGGAAGAAATAATGACTGTTCTGTCCAATAAACCCTAGTTTGTCATATGCTTCCACTCCTTTGCTTTTTTTAGTTGGCCTTGTACTACTCAGTCAGCACCCAAGTAAGCACCCTATAACTCATCATGTCCATTACCTACAGCACAATGGTTTTAGTAAGTGATGATGGTTTGATTATAAGGCTCACTCTCAATAAGGCAGGCGATGATAATCTGATAGCAAAAGTCCTTTACAATTTAGATAGAACACTATCAATCACTGAACCTAATCCTTCCATTTGTCCCCTAACCATTTATTTATTAAACAATTTTATATAGCCACCCAACTCACATACTTTGACTTTGGATGATGTGCAACATTAAAAGATTACAGTTAAAAGTTCACAGTTTAACTCCATCCTGCCCAACCCATGTTAGTGACAACAGATTCAAACAAGCCACCTGATCAGCTCTGAATAGGGTCCCAGGCCCACTGAAAAAAACATGTCTTCAAGGCTTTGTAGAAAAGCAACAAGGTGGAGTTGAATCTTATCTCTGGGGTAATGATGTCTAAAAGTGAGGGAGCCACCCCAGAGAAGGCCCCACCATATGTACTTCCTGGATACTTCCTGAAACATGCCTTGCCTTCCTGCTCTGATAGGCCGGGTAGATATAATTGTGGGGAGCCGGTTCATTAAATAACTTGGCTCCAAATCATGTGGAAGTTTGAAGGTGATACCCAGCACTTTGAATTGCACCTAGAAGCAAATTGCTAGCATATAAATGTGGACTTGCTTGAAACTATATGGGCTGCTATATTTTAAGCCACCTGAGTAGCTTTCCATGTAGAAAGCATTATAATAGTCCAAACCGCAACTGACCAAGGTATGGGTGATTGTGAAAAGGGACTATTGGTCCAGGAATGAACATAATTAGTGCACAACACACAGATGTGCAAAAGGTCTCTTGGTCACGACCTTTCTGAGCAGGAACTGCAAGTCCAGGAAAATCTCCAGATTCCACATAAGGTTGGTCTGGGGCAGTGCAATCCCATCCATGGCCCAAAATAGTAATTCTCTGAGAATCAAGGCACCCAGACCCAAAGTCACTCTGCCTTGCCAGTGTTCAGTTTTAACTTGCTGCTACCCATCCAGATCTCAAAAGTTTCAGGCATTGAGCAAGAACAGTTGCAGCATCATTTAACTCACATGGGCAGAGATGTACAACTGAGTATCATCCTTATATTGCTATCTTGACTCATGGTAGCTGATAATCTCAATCAATGGTTTCATTTCATTATAACATTTGTACATAAAACTTGTCTCAGTCCTTTTTCTAAAATATGTCTACTGCATTGCTACCAGTTGCAGCAGTCTGGAGCTCTAGTCTAAGCAATAGACCAAGATGGGAATTTTATAATTTAAATGGGAATACTCAGTTCTTCACATCTGTCTTAGAATCTGAACTTTGTACATATTTGAAGTGCAGGTTATTTGTGGATGCCCAGTTTTTATCATCTCTCTTTAAAACAACAACAACAACAGCAACAAAACTAAAATCCTATGAATTCTAGAAGATGTAAAAGATCTTCTAGATCTTAAAAATACGAAGATAATAAAACAGGGAATGAAAGGAAATGAATCAGAAGAGAGGAATAATTTTAAAATGCTCCTGATAGAATGGAAAACCAGGCTGATGCAAACTAATGGATAACTAATTGGCATTGAAATGTGGGTTAGACTAGATCAGGAGGAGGAATTATCTCACTGGCCATGTTCAGATTTTGCAAAAACATAATTTCTCTAGATCTTCAGGGACTAGTGGACTTGAGGGAAGGGTATTTATTTTGCCGTATAATTAAGAAAATCACTATGTTGTATTTCTGTAGTCTTTGGAGGTATCAAAGCTAGAGAAAGATTACTGGGCAGAAAATGGTCAGCGACACTTTGTAAAGGCACTTCATATTTCATATTTAGCACAGAGGTTAGTTGTAACAAGCAAGGAGCAGTCAGTGGAAGTTTTAATCATTCTTCCTTTTTCTTTTAACCATCTTCATGCTTTTGCACAGAGATTTCCTCTTAGGTCTCGTTAATAAGTGTTGCTTGCAATGATCACAGCTATTTCTCTGTTATATTCTGTGTATTTGGGATGGGATGGTAGGTCAAAAGTATTGGCAGACCCTTTTGCTTTTATTGTTCCTTCCTGAGAATGTCAGTGAGAGTTTCAAAACCATGTGCCACCAGCCCTCAAAAGATCCAGAGGAACTGCGAGGCAACAAAGATGATGTAATACTTGGGGCATTTATTTCAATCGTATTTAGTGATTTAAGTTTAGTAAATTTCATAAAGCAGCCAAATACATCCAAAGCAGGATTGTAAGTACATCATTCTTCTTTGAATTAACACATTATATGATCTAAAGAAAACCGATAGAATCAAGGAAAGAAACATATAATTTTAGTTCAGATGCTGTAGCATTGAGTGGTTTTATCCGTTTTAAGACTTTCAAAGAGGTGGTGCTTAGATATTCATCATAATACACAAGACTGGGATCTGCTCATAATTAGCTAGCCATCTGAAAATGGGTTTTAGGGGGGGGGGAATCTCAGGAGACTGAATGTCTAAAACACACTCAAAGGCTGCAACTCCACTCACCCCATGAATGAAAGAATAGACCTCAGTTAAAATAGGGCCATTGAACTCCCTGTCTTTTCATAACATTTATCTGGGGTGGGAAGCAGAATTCAGACATTTAAATAAGGGCAAGTAAAATCATTTCCAATATAACCTATTAGAAGCAGAATGCTAAATCAAGAAATTCCTTTCTGAGAATGTTCAGTTTAGATCTCCCTAATCAAATTTTTCATCTGCTGGTGCCAATGAATGAAGGAACTAAATGGAAAGGATTTGAAAACACACTTGTGAAAATTGAGCTCCATATTGAGAATGAACATACATTGGTTTAGGCTTGTAGTTGTACCTGAATGTTTATGTCAGTACTTTTTTTGTGAGCCAAAAGTTTATTTATATACCCGACTGTGTAATTTACTGCTGAGGTTTAACATAAATACCCTCTGTGTTGACTGCAGAAGTTTATATGCTAGTAGATACTGTATCTATCATCTGTTTAAAACTTTTAAGCATCATAGGATCTAGAAAAGGACTTCCAAAATGCTCCTCCAACACTCTTGCCTGGATATCTTGCTGAATGTTTCATCCTGAATAATTTGAAGAGTTGCTACCTTATTATGAAATTGATATTAACTACATGATTAACAGCAAGTGCATTATTTTGCTATGTGTGTTTCTAAGAAAGAGTAAAACTGATTTATCTTGGTTTTTCATTGACAAAACTAACTGTTTTTCATATGTATTAAGAATCCAAAGACTAGAAGTGACATCACATTCTTATAATGGGAAAGCAACAAGATTAAATGACTGTCCATTTAGACAGAAGAATACTCGCTCGTTTACAATGGGTTGAAATGCATGGTTCTACTCGGTGGTTAACATAGTGGCAGATTCGATATTGTGAGCATAGTGTGAAAAGGACAGAGTTTCTTTAAGTAAAAATCTAAATTTAATACGAGTGCAAATTGCTGAAATTACCTACATTGTTTATAATTAGTTTGCTTCTTTTTCTAGCATAATGATGCGCATTTATGCATTTTGATTTCAGAATGATCACCAAAGACTACCAACATGTTCTTTCTACATATTTTGCCATTCATGAGATCAACAAGAACATTAAGCTGTTACCCAATACTACGCTAGAAATAGATATTTTTGAGCATAGTTTTATAGAAAATTTTGCCATTCAGAACATTCTAAATTTTCTTTTTTTTAAGCAAGGGAATGCATTAAACTACAACTGTGTCAGAAGGATGAAAAGCAAGCTCTGGGATGTCATTGGTGGCATCACCTCTCACAGCTCTATCCACATAGCCCACATTTTGAACACTTACAAGATTCCACAGGTATGAGAAATTTTCATAGAACAGCTTGTAGTTGTGAAATGATCAGTCTTTATAAATTAAGCTGCATTTCTTGTGCTGTCTTGAACAGTTATTTTAACCCAGGGGTCTTCAAACTTGGCCCTTTTATGACTTGCGGACTTCAACTCCCAGAATTCCTCAGGCAAGCTGGCTGAGGAATTCTGGGAGTTGAAGTCCACAAGTCATAAAAGGGCCAAGTTTGAAGACCCCTGTTTTAACATTTTGATTTTAAAAAATGAAACCAACTTCAGAACCCCCCCCCCCAAAATCTACATAAAGCAGAGGATAGGTAATCAGAATGCCTTAGACATTTTGGATTCTATTCCTAGGGTTGATGAAGGAATAAATTGTGTTTCAAATATCTTAAAGGTACCAAGTTGCACTAAAAACTGATGACAGAATGAGAAAATATAATGAAAAAATAATAAATGAATTAGTAATCCAAAAAATGGCCATAGTTTATTAAAAATATTTAGAAAAACACCCGATGGGATATCAATGGATGTTGGAATTAAGTTAAAAATATTAAATATTAATTTCTGTGTTCTTCTCTGAAGTAGTCATTCAGTATATAAGGTACCATATCTGGAGTTCTTTGATCAGACATCTGACCCTACTCTTTCACCTAAACAACTGCTATTTCTCCTCATTTATTACATAATGTTGACATTCAAGTCACCCAGAATCACAAAAGGATTCTCAGTTTAATTTTCTTTGCATGTGTCTTCCAAACAGCTCAGTTATGGCTCTTTTGACCCAGTTCTGAGTGATAAAAGACAGTTCCCATCCTTCTTCAGCATGGCTCCCAATGAACATGTACAATATGAGGGGACTGTTCATTTACTGAAACATTTTGGATGGAGCTGGATTGGCCTTTTAATATCAGACAATGAAAGTGGGGAAGGATTTCTTCAAAATCTCCAGCCAAAGCTCTTGAAGAATGATATTTGCATTGCTTTTAGGGAATTGATCCCAGTAATCAAAACTCTCAAATTAGGTGAAGATATTTTTACCCGACTAGAGGACATAATAATTGCTATTTCATTGACTAAAACGAATGTGTTCCTTGTTTCTGGAGATATGCAATCCATGATGAGTTTACAGATGATTCTCCGAAACACTGAATCAATGAATTGGCCAATGGATCACCGAGTGTGGGTCATAAGTTCTCAGTGGGATGTCACTGCTGTTTACTTGAGACAGAATAAACTCCCAGCACAAATCTTGAATGGTTCCTTATTTTTCTCACTGCACACAAATATAGTCCCGAGATTTCAGGAGTTTTTTGAAAAAATGAACCCTTATTTTGATTCCTTTCTTTTTCTTGATTGGTTCTGGGCATCTGCATTTCATTGTACCATACCCCCCTATTACAATGGAGAAAAATACTGCACTGGGTATGAAGAACTGGGGAGACTCCCTGGATCTTTGTTTGAAATGACCATGTCTGGAGAGAGCTACAATATTTACAATGGGGTTCATTCTGTAGCACATGCCCTGCATGCAATTCATTCCACAAGAGCAAATCCAGCTTTTCTGAGAAATCAGATCAGAGAAAATCTCTGGGATGTTCAACCCTGGCAAGTAGGTTATTTCTCTTCTCAGATACACCTGTTTAAGGACTTTGCAATTAGTCAATTGATTGACTAATTATTTGCTATCAGGTCATGGTTGATGCTTAGGAATCACAGAGAACAATTTCTCTCCATGATGACTTGTATAAGGATGTTCAGGTCTTTGAATTGTACACTTTTTGCCAGTGTAATTCTAAATTGGGAATGTGGGAATGACCTTTGGAAATGGGGCCAAGAGATGCTGCCTATGGAACAGGCAAATGGAGACAATTCTGTATCATGTTTTCAGTCTAAAAACTTAGGGGGGGTTAACAACTTCATTAAATTTATTCCATCCACTGCTTCTCAATCAATGAAGTTTAGGGCTTTAATGCAATCTCTGATGTTTGACTTGAAAATGGTGGGTATATACTGTATGCTTAAGATTATATTGTGGGAATCAGTTGGGGTTTTTTTCTTTTTTAGCTTAAAAAGACTGTGATTTGCCTTAATTTACACAATTTCCTATTCAAGTAGGGGACCTATCTGAATTATTATAATCTGGATGCATTGTATGCATTATAACTTTCCTTTCAAGAAGTTCAAGAATTCATATGATATTTATTTTAAAGAGTACCACTCAAAAGAAGTTTAGAAAAAAAAGACCTTTGCAGTGCTGTGATTAAAGTATAAAAGGGGGCGAAGTGAAGGTGAAAATGTATATGTTGAATCCTCTTAATAAATCATAAATCCTCTTAACTTTCTCAGAACCTTTAGCTATTATTCTGTATTGCCTACTATTCTTCTAACAGTGACGATCAAGAGAAGTTTGAGAGATTGCTTTTTCAGAATCTTTCTTTTCAAATCTGAGTTCATTGCAAGTATATTATAGCTACTAATCTCAATTTGAACAGAATTCATTGGTCAAAAAACGATCTCCATATTTCACTGAGAGACTGTTATGCCGTCTTTTGGTTTCTGATCTAATTTTATTTTTCCTGTAGCCACTTGGTTCTTATTAAAAATAATATACTTCATAAAACAAGCAATTTGGAAGAGAGGGAAAGTTAGTCTTCCACTGTAGAAAACATATGCAAATAGGCTAATTTTACTCTAGTTTTGCATTTCTCTTGCCTAGAAATGTAGATGATGTCAATATTTTTCCATTTCTTAAAAAGGAGGGGAAATGCAGGTAAAAATGTATGTGTTGAATCCTCTTAATGGGTTTTGATATATTGTCCTATATCACCTATTATTCTTCTAACAGTGATGATCAATAAAAGTTTGCGAGATTGCTTTCCGAGAATTTTTCTTTTCAAATATAAATTTAAGTTCATTGCAAAAATATGTATAAATACTAATCTCAATTTGAACAGAGTTCAATGGTTAAAATATGATCTTTAATATTTCATTGAGGGACTATTACCCCATCTTTTGATTTCTGATCTAATCTTACTTTTATTCCTCCCTTCGATCCAGCTCCACCACTTTTTGAGACATCTCCGTTTTAATAACAGTGCAGGTGATGAAATCTTTTTTGATGAAAAGGGAAACTTTGACCCTGGATATGATATCCAGAACTTGGTCACATTCCATAATAATTCCTTCCAGAGACTCCAGGTTGGAAGAATGGATTCCAGAGCCCCCAATGGGAAAAAGTTCAGCATCAATGAAGATGCCATTCGGTGGCATCACAAATTTCAGCAGGTGGGACATTTGTGGATATTTTAATATAGCAGATTACATCTTTTGGATGATTTTTTTTTGTGATAACTAGAAAAATCACACATGAAGACTATTGGTGATGTCCTGGAGTCTTGTAGTTTGGGGAATATTTGGGTTTTTCTTTTGGAAGATATTTAATTTTCCAAATTAGTTTTGGAATTTGGAATATGTCATTTGTCATGGTTCCGAAAGAAGAAGCTTTTCAAAGAACTTTGAGGCCTTGTTTACCTTAAAGAATCCTTTTATTGCTACATAACTTCGGCACGTACATAATGAAGCTAAAAACTGAATTCTCCCTCCCCCAATCACCCGTAACAAAGCATAACTCACTCCTTCATTTAACAGTCATCAATCACGTTCTCCAATTAGTTTGAAGTGTGAACTTTCCCTCCCATAACTCCTCTGGTTACAACTGACCTTGGAAATACTGTACTGAAATATTGTTATGGCTAACTATCCCCCGAGTACATACTTTCCCCCCTCTCTTCTAACATTGTCTGACTTTAACTCTAGAAGTGATACATAGGTTAAATAAAACATGTTTGCTTCATCATATATTGTCAAGCAAGAACATCCGATGTTAGCAGCCTTGATATCATTCTTCCTGACTCATTTCACTAATTCTTAACAGGTTATTGAAAATCAATAAAAACTCTGAACATGAATAATAATATTCTCTCAACTAATTTTTATTCTTAAAAGAAATGCAAGGAATCATGTAAAAAAATATGAGCCTGGGCATGTATCATGCATCTCATAATGGTTTGCATCAAATGTGGAACATTCCTGGCAAACATTTCACTATTCAAACTTCTTGAGCTCAAAAGCAATTGCTCAGTCCCTGAATTTAGTAAACTAATACACTCCAAATAAAGTTGTGTATTTCCGAAAACTATTGTTAAATTCCACACAAAAAGTTCATTTTTTTTTCTAGGTACCTCCTCGTTCCAAGTGTGTTGAGAGCTGCCATCAGGGATGCATGAAAGTCATTCAAGAGGGGGCACAAGTTTGTTGTTACAATTGCATTAAGTGCCCCGAAGGAAGAATCTCAGTCCAAATTGGTAAGTAAAAAAAAAATTATACTGTAGGGGAATGGAGTTTTTTTATTCTACTTTGTAATGGGCCTGGTGGTATGCTGGAATATCTTATTGCTAAGGATTAGCATTACGGTATAAATGGAATGGGACATGTGAATGGCATCACCAGGAGTGGCTTCTATAAATTTCCTTTGCAAAATAGTCTAAATGATTGGAAAAGATAACACCTTCTTCAAGTACAGTAATAGTCGTAATGTCAGGAATGGCCCATAAGCACTAGGGGGCACTGATCATGTAACTTTGAATGACCGTTAAGTGAATGCTCATAACTCAGGGATTACCTGTATTCCAGATGCTGACCAATGTAAGAGATGCCCAGAAGATCAGTATCCCAATGAAGCAAAGGATCATTGCCTTCCCAAAAGTTTCAGTTATTTATCCTACGGTGAACCCTTGGGGGTCACTTTGACTTCCTTGATTCTTTTCTTTTCGGGAACCCTCATTTTAGTGTCAATGACTTTCATCCTGCACTGGGAGACCCCCATTGTCAAAGCCAACAACAGGAACATCACCTGCATCCTTCTTTCCTCTCTCCTGCTTTGTTTTCTCTGCTCACTGCTGTTTATTGGCTGGCCTGGGGAGGTGACTTGTTTTCTCAGGCAAACAATATTTGGCACTGTTTTCTCCATTTCTATTTCCTGTATCTTGGCTAAAACCATCCTGGTAGTTTTGGCCTTTGTGGCCTCTAAGCCAGGAAACCAGATGAGGAAGTGGCTAGGGAGAAGACTTGCAGGATCCATCACTGTCATCTGCTCCTTCATTCAAGTTGTGATCTGTGTAGTGTGGTGGATCACATTTCCTCCCTTCCCTGAATTTGACATGGACTCCCAAATGGATAAGATCATTGTGCAATGTAATGAAGGCTCCGATTTCATGTTTTATATCGTCCTGTGTTATTTGGGACTTTTGGCTAGTATCAGTTTCACTGTGGCTTTCTTTGCAAGGAAATTGCCCGATACCTTTAATGAAGCCAAGCTGATCACCTTCAGCATGCTTGTGTTTTGCAGCGTTTGGGTGTCCTTCATCCCAGCTTATCTTAGCACCAGGGGAAAATACATGGTGTCTGTGGAGATCTTCTCCATCTTGGCCTCTACTGCAGGTCTACTGGGTTGCATCTTTCTCCCCAAGTGCTACATTATTCTCCTGAAGCCACATCTAAACACAAAAGAACATTTGTCCAAGAGAACAGTTTAATTGCTATATGCACATTCCATTAGACAGCATTTTCCTGAATCATCCATAGGGAAAATCCAAAAAAATCAATATGGCAACTACAAGTATGCAATAAAAGTTTTTTCCCTTTATTTTGTGCTTCATATGTATGATGCATGTAATAAAATACAGGACTTTGAATGCTCAGTCACAACTTCTATCTTCATTTTTTAAAAGCAATAAATAAATAAATAAATATAAATAAATAAATAAATAAATAAATAAATAAATAAATAAATAAATAAATAAATGCCTCTGGCTGGTGAATAAACTTCATTGAAAGCACACTATTCAATTGTTCCTCTTTTAATGTTGAAATGGATACACCACTACATCCACGTCTCCATGTTTTGATTATTGTTTGATTGTTATTTCACCAGACATTTTCCTTAAAGAGCCTAAACACTAGACCATCTTATGAATCTATATGCAATTTATTTATTTAATTTCCAGGAACATAAACTAAAATCCAAAATGATTTTAGTTTGGTCATACCCTGTTTCCTTCCTGCTGAACCTGCATGTCCAATTTTTCCTCCTTGGTTCTCAGTGCTCTTCCTCACATGGTGTCTATAAAGTCTTTTATAGTCCCTGCAGGCTTCCTTGTGAGAAGCAGCTGCCCAAAATACAAGTCTTTTTGGTTTCCCCTTTTTTCAAGAAGCTCCACAGAATCAGGTACACTACCCAATTGTGATTCCATCTTTAGCAGTGTCTCTGCCACCCAACTGTTCTTTGGGCAATTCCTGGAGGACTTCAGGGAAAACCGTAATTTGTCTCACAGTCATCAAACCAACTAAGTTTCATTGGAAATATCAAAGATACACAAATACTTCTTTTTAAAACATCAAATAATTACTCAAACCAGAAACAGTAGCTAGCTCTGTACCAAGCTTTTAAAGAGTCCATATACTTCACCATGTGTCACTGAAAGTTTGCAGGTTACTTAAGTGAGAAGGAAGGAAGGAAGGAAGGAAGGAAGGAAGGAAGGAAGGAAGGAAGGAGGGAAGGAGGAAGGAAGGAAGGAAGGATGGATGGATACCTGTAGGGGAGGGGGAAAAACCTATCTTTTGGAGTTTTAACTATTCAGCATTAAAGGGAAAGATCTTTAGTTATTTTCAATCTTCCCATACGTATTGTTCGGATTTCTCCATTACCTGTGATGGTCAAGGGCGAAAGGAACTCACCCTCTGGAAGACATTTTCCCTTTGAATCCTTGGAATTTTTCATTGAGCTGATCTAATTCTTCTGTGTTAAACTTGATTGTATTCTGTGATTGCTTCTCATTTAATTGTAACAATAAAATAAAGCAGTATGTGGTATACTGCTGAAAAGATGCACTTTTCTGGTTTTAGCATTTTTTAAAAAATTAGCTCAATTGTCCCTCATTTAATTCAATTCTAAATTATAAAACTCACTTCTCTTCCTTTTTTCTGCATGGTTCTGAATGATATTAATTTGTATTATATTCAATAGCCCTCCTTCTCCATCATTTACCCTGACTTCATGCAGATTGAGTCAAGGATTTTACAACTATTTGGATTTCATCATACTTTTTTATCCATTGCATATATTTTACTGTGTTTTGCCATGTAAAAGATGCCTTGATGACCAATGTGGGACATGCCCTGAAGATTATCTACCCCTATGAAGAAAAAGCTCAATACATCTCCAAAATGTTTCTTTTTTTTTTTTCAATATAGAATTTTATTGTTTTTATCATAAAAGAAGAAATACATCACAAGTATTACACAATGATTTATCCCATCCCCCCACCCCCCGGACTTCCCAAACCAAACCTAGGCTAACATTCAACTACAAGTAAACAAATATTAATATCTCTAACTCCAAACTCTAAACTTAAACAATCCATCTCCTCCG